ATGGTTCTACCAGTCTTGATCACGTTAATTTAAAAACTGCTTTTTCCGCTAAGGTTCTAGTTCTGGAAACTACTGTAACAGACCACTTTGCCGTTATGTTTGCCCTCTCAAAAATTAAAATGAAATTATGTAATCGTAAATTTATAAAAAAAAATAAATGAAGATAAGCTTATTCATGAATTACGCTGTATTAACTTTAACTCCGTATACACAACGAATGACCCTAACTTAGCTGTTAAATTCTTTGTCGAACCTATTATTTCAGCTATAGCCAACAATACCAAAACTTTATTTCTGTCTTGTAGACGTAGACCTATTAAGCCTTGGATCACTCTGGCTTTGTTGAAATGCATGCGAAACAGAGATAGATTATATAAAAAATCGAAAAAAGACCCATCAAATCAGATTCTTAGAATTACTTATAAAAGATATCGCAACTTCTGTACCAACCTCCTGCGAAATGCAAAAAGTAATTATGAGAAGCTAGAATTTCAAAGAGCAGGCAAGAACTCCAAACAACTGTGGAAAGTCATTCAAACTGTTACAAATTTATCTAAACAGCAATCAACGGCGTCTGATCTCCTAGACATCAACGAAATTAATACTCAAAAATCTGTTGAGGATATAAACACATATTTTTCAAATATAGGAAAATCACTAGCAGACAAATTAGAAAGAGGCTCGGCAATATTACCGGCATCCGTTACTTATTCCAAATCCTTTGTTTTGCTTGAAACTGACGAGAGTGAAGTCGAACGTTTGATTATGTCTTTGGATAATAACCGAACAGCTGGTTGGGATGGTATTTCTTCAGAATTCTTAAAGAAGCTCAAAAATTTTATTATTTCACCTCTTACATATATTTGTAATTTGAGTCTCCAGACAGGTATTTTCCCTGATCTGTTTAAAAAGGCAATAGTTCACCCTATTTTTAAATCCGGCGACCGAAATCGTATCGAAAACTACAGACCTATATCAGTTTTGCCTACGATGTCGAAGATCCTCGAGAAAATAATTAACACAAGGCTTGTTAATTATTTAGAGACTAATAAACTGCTCTCTAAAAATCAATTTGGTTTTCGAAAAAAGTTGTGCACATCTGATGCTGTCCACAGCCTTATTGATTTTGTAATCAGGAATCTAGATATACGTCAAAAATGTATTGCCTTGTTTCTTGACCTTACAAAGGCGTTTGATACTGTTTCGATACCCATCCTAATTTCAAAACTTCAATCTTTAGGAGTAAGAGGAGTTCAGTTATCTTTATTCAAAAGTTATTTAAGTAATAGAACTCAATGTGTTAGGATTGGTCCTTATAGTAGTTCTGACCTGCAAATTACATACGGTGTACCGCAGGGAAGTATTCTCGGCCCAAGTTTGTTTTTAGTATATATAAATGACCTGTGTAACATCAATCTTTTAAACGGGATGATCTTTTCCTACGCAGATGACACAGCACTTGTGTTTCATTCGAATACTTGGATTGAAACATATTCCCTTGCTCAAAAAGGGTTTGACGTTGTAAATAAATGGTTAAACGCGCATTTACTTACGTTGAACATAGATAAAACAAAATTAATAGACTTTTCTATTCGAAACACAAAAAATTCAACAACAAACTCATTACAAATCGTTGTTAAGCCTCCCCTTGATATAAGAAATAGTACAGACAATAACGACCTACACTATATAAAAAAAGTGACATCTATAAAATATCTCGGAATTATAATTGATAATAACCTCACATTTAAAGCTTACATTGAACACCTGTCAAACAGAGTCCGTAAACTTATTTACATTTTTAAACAATTACGTCAATCTGCAGATTCAGAAATCATGAAGATGGTTTATATGGCATTGTGTCAATCTATTTTATCTTATTGCATATCCACGTGGGGTGGTGCGGCTAAAAGTAATTTTATACAAATTGAACGGGCACAGAGAGCAGTTTTAAAAGTATGTTGTTTCAAACCGCGTATGTTTCCTACAGACCAACTTTACGACTATTGCCAAGTACTAACAGTTAGACAATTATTCATTTTAACCACCGCTCTCAAACAACATGCCTCAACCAAATATATCCCTGAATGGACACGACGTAACCAACTAGTTGCAAAGTCTACTCAAGTTAAAACTGCATTTAGTCATAGATTCTTCATATTCCTTGGCCCCTATTTATATAATAAATTGCATAAAACCTTATCCCTCTTTTCCCGAAATCAATATGAGTGCAAAAATATTATTCTCCAGTGGCTCCTTAAGCAAACCTATGCAAAAACAGAAAGTCTTTTAGAGGTTGTCGTGTAAAATACACACACACACACACACACACACACACACACACACACACACACACACACACACACACACACACACACACACACACACACACACACACACACACACTTTTCTAAGTTTTCTTAACCATAACCAATTATCTCAATTAGGTATGACAAAAAAGTAAATAGAGTTAAACTTTATGTGTTAATGTTTTAGATATAATAGCATTCCTCGCAGATGTGGGGACTTGGTGACCTGTAATACGGGTATCTTACCCACCATAGGCACCAGCGATCCACGGGCAAAGTTGTTTTATACTACTTATAGGCTACTTATAACTCTAAATGTAACTTTATTTTGTGGTGAGAAATAAACGTTATTATTATTATTATTAATGGGGTATCTATATAGTTTTCTCATCTGGTTGGGTTCTATAAATATATAATTATAAATGAAAATGAAAAAGATAAATATACATAAATATCAATAACATAAAATAAATATAAAAGTACATAAATAAGTAAAAGCCCAACCAGATGGAGGCCCTCGGCAGGGGAGACCAAACGGCCGAGGGTTAGGGGGAAAGGGAAAGAAACCGGCGGACGATGCGGGCGGTATCGAGGAGCACCGCCTTCTGCATTTGAACCTGGAGCGGTCCGCCACGTAGTCCCAGCCGCCTCAGATGACCCGAGAGGCTGACTGGGATTAGCCCGTTTGCAGAGACGACTACAGGAATAATTTCGGTCGGCAGACCACCCCACATGTCGGTCACCTCGTGAGCCAGGTCCAGATATTTTGTTTGCTTGTCTGTTTCGGCTTTCACGAGGTTCTCGTCATACGGAATGGTAATGTCGACCAAAAATATCCTTGACTGTGCCCGGTCCATCAGCACAATATCAGGTTTATTCGCAAGAATAGTCCTGTCTGTGATGATGGCCCGGTCCCAATAGAGCCTGGCGCGATCATTTTCGAGCACGGCTTCCGGCAAGTACTTGTAATACGGCAATTTCCGATCCACGAGACCGTATTTCAGAGCGAGCTCCTGGTGTAGAATTCTGGCTACTAGGTTGTGCCTGTGCAAGTACTCAGAGTTAGAAAGCGCCGAACAACCGGAGATAACATGCCTAAGTGACTCACCGGGATGGCGACAAGCTCGACAGATGTCGACGGTGCCATCCTTTAGGATGTATCTCCGATAGTTGTTGGTCTTAATAACCTGATCCTGTATTGCACAGACAAAACCCTCGGTTTCCCCCGAAGAGATCACCAAAGCGTAGCCAGTGGAGGGAGGCTACTGTGTCTACGAAAGGCTCATGTAGAGCCTTGTAGAACCTCCCGTGGAGCTCCTTCTCCTTCCATACGGTCTCCCGGTCGGAAATGCTCTGCACTGCCGGGTCTTGCCATTGCTCGTTGGCTAAGGATAGAGGGGTAAGTCCTTTATCACAAGAAATGACGTCCTTATAGAATGGATCATCCGATCTCGCAAGGAAGTAATCACGGAGGCTGCACACTTCGCGATTATGCATGGTGAGCGCGCTCAAGAAGCCACGACCACCATGCTTCCGCGGCAAGTACAGCCTCATTACCGACGATCTCGGATGATGCATCCTATGGGACGTCATGGTAGTGCGGACTTTTCTATCCAGGGCGTTAAGTTCAGTCTGAGTCCACCTGAGTATGCCAAAGGTATACATGAGGACAGGCATGACCCAACCGTTATATGCGTGTGCCTTATTCACACCGGACAAAAGGCTGTTAAGCACTTTGGTCAAGCGTGCATAAAACACGTCGCAAACTGACTGTTTCATACCAGCCTCATCGATACCGATGTTCTGTGACATACCCAGGTATCGGTATGTTTCAGCCTCGGAAAGGGTTCTTAAGTTGACGGGCATAGATAAGTCTATGCCCTCAGAGTTAGCAACCCTTCCCCTTTCAACATGGAGGACCGCACACTTATCCGTCCCCAGCTCCATTCTAATAGAATTGCTAAATTCACACGTGATGTTTAGCAATTCCATAAGATGGGAGCGACTGGAGGCGAATAATTTGAGGTCATCCATGTAAAAAAGGTGGGTCACTTTTGTACCTCCTTTCCGAAGCTGAAATCCCTTCCCGGAGCCCTCCAGTAAAGTACTGAGAGGGTTCAAAGAGAGGCAGAACCAGATTGGACTCAGACAGTCGCCCTGGAATATACCCCTTCTTATCCTTATGCGGCTTTCCGCAGCCGTCATCCGCTCGCCTAGATGACAGAGGATCGTACTCCACTGCCCCATACACTGCTCGAGGAAGTCTCGAACTGTATAGTCAATCTTGTACAGCTCGAGGACCCTCTTTAGCCATGTATGGGGCACCGAGTCAAATGCCTTTCTGTAATCTATCCAGGCGGCGGAGAAGTTCCGACGGTTGCGTTTCACCACTTTGCCAATGACCGCGTCAATGAGGAGTGGTTCCTTGGTTCCACGACCGCCGCCCCGACATCCATTTTGAGCGCGCGACATCACCTGATTTAAGTCCAGGTGACGAGCGATTCTTGCGCTCAAAATGGATGTTAGTGTCTTGTATATGGTCGGTAGACACGTGATGGGGCGGTATTTGCTCGGGTCTGTGGCACCCTGATCTTTAGGAACCAAATGAGTGATCCCAGCAGTGAAGAGGCTTGGGAGCGACTTCTGGTTGAGAGCCTCTTGAAACTGTCGGGCGAGCACAGAGTGACACACCATGAACCCCTTCAGCCAGTAGTGATGCAGCCCGTCAAGCCCCGGACTTTTCCAGTTCGGGGCCCTACGGACCGCCTCAGCTACGTCATCCGGCGTTATGATGACGGGGTCCATGGGCGTAATACTCGCACACTGACTCGCCACAACTTCCGTCCAAGGGCCCTCGTTGTGGTTTACGGGCTCTGACCACAGGCTGCGCCAGAATGCGACCATGTCGGCCTGATTTGGTGCAGGGCCCGTTCCACTTACTATTGGTCGCTCCAATGATTTATAGAGCCTCTTCTGATCACTCTGGAAGAGACGATTCTGGTTGAACCGTGTCGACCTCTCGGTATATCGCCGAATCCGCTTTCCCCAAGCAGCTATTCTTTGCTTCAGGTCGTCTATGCGCTCCGTCAGTTTTTGCATTATATCCGGCTGGGACAAACTAACATTTGTCCCAGCAAACGCCATCCTGACGGTGCGCACAATCCTTGGCCTGGTATTGCCTGACCTGAAGCATATCAGTCTGCCGATGAGGGCCCTAGCCTTTGCGATACGTTCTTCAATTCTTATTCTCCAGGCTGGGATAGCACTACTTTGTCCAGTAGCGCGTCCAGCCGTGGAAAGTTTGGCACCTATAATACGGCAGACTGCCAGTGCGGCGCCAAAAAGAATTGAGTCCGTATCGCAAAGGTCCCGGCTGGCTTCCAAATAGGTAACCAGCATTGGGTTCAGAGCCCTCACGACAGCCCGATTCCGCTTGCTTAGGGCTAAGCGGGGAAGTCGCGGTCGATTTTCGAGAGTCGTACTGCGCGTTTCCACAATCGCCTCTTCCAATGTACTCCTCATTTGCTCTAGTTCCAGTTCCTGGGCGACTGTTCCATCATCGTTTGAATCAACCACAACTGGCGTATTCACGGCGGCATCCACATTTGCCGTTTGCTCGGCAAGTTGTGGCGCCGCATCTTCAGCCGCAGCATTTTCACCCGATGAAGGAACAGCCTCACGTCGTAGCCGTTCGAGTTCGGTGACATCAAATGTATTTGAGCGCAAGATATACCGAACTCGGTCTGCCAGGTTTTGCTCGGTGACGGTTACAGATGGCTCCAGCTCAGCAAAAAGTCGATGCATCCTTGCCCGATACGCAAAACCTTAAGTTTCTCCCCCTTTCGCCCTAAAATACGCCCGCAATGCGTTGCTGTTCATCTGGGTTGTCCACCAGTGGCGGGTGCCGATTGCTGAGCCCGCGAAGACCCTGCCGACACCAAGCCAGCTGGTGGGGATGATGGATGCGAGGAGCTGCTGGGTGGTCGTGTAGCACCTCGCGCTCGGCTGGCGGTTCGCATGCTGTCGCGTCCAGCGCCAGCTCCAGACGCGCCCTGGCGACCTCCAGGCAGCGGCCCTTTGCGCGTTCCATTTGATTCCATCATCCATTTTAGGGCGTCATTTAGCGGGAGACGCCCAGACCCGGCGCCGTTTCATGGTTAGGCCATGTGCACAAGCGGGCCTTGGCACCTTCAATTTTTGCCGAGGCACGGCACTAACACCTCTTGGCAAGGTGCTGACTGACTGCGCCGACGTAGCGGTTTTGTCACATAACCGTTATATCAGCGGGCGATGGGGTCGTCACTTCCCTACGCCTTATTACTACTTATTATTATTATTATTATTATTATTATTATATTAAAATTAAAGTAACAGCCTACTACGTCTCATTGCTGAACACAGGCCTTTTCTCATTTCTGAGAAGGTTTTAGGGCTACAAAAATTACTGCCCTAATGCGTGTTGGTGGAATTCACGTCTTCGAACTATACTTTTTTAATTCCTAAGACATGCAGATTTGAATTTGTACTTAATAACTTCATTAGTGCCGTATATTTGTTTAAATATCAACATAATTTTTATAACAACATAGTTTCAAAAATCATTTTTGCTTATTATTTTCTTCTCTCTATTGCTACATCTACGTCACATTCTCACCACTGCATGAGTTGCATAGAAGAGAATATATTATATCATAGCATTAAGTCTGGTCTGTGCATTACTTTATAATAAAAAATGCATAATACATAAAACAGAGGGGTAGGCAGAGTTTACGGACTTCCATTTGGTACGATCCTGACATTCCTCCCTCGTCTTCTTTACATCCATTTAGCTACGCATACATACTCATCGGTTAATGTGCCCCAATTTCAAAATATCGCTAATTTGGTCGATAAACTTTCATCTAGGGCGTTCCTTCTCGACTCTACTGTTCACATCTGCCATATAAATTTGCTTTGTCACTCTTTCCTCATTCATTCTTTCCACATGACCAAACCACCAAAGCATTTCTTTCTTATTCCTGGTCACAACATCATCTTGCATACCACATTTTTTACTTATCACACAATTTCTCACCTTGTAATTTAGATTCAACCCTAGCGTACTCCTTAAAGATCGTATTTCTACAGCATTTACCCTACTTTCGTGCTTCTTCTTCTATAAAGAATGCAACAAAGCGTAAATAAAAAAACTACTATATTTAAAGTGATAAATGTAAAAATATAACAAACAACGCTAGATTTATTTATTTTTGGCCAGTCTCCACTCTTTCGTTGTTGACTTACCACGCATTCGAACCAAACGTTTTGCAATATCGTTCGTGATGCGTATAGCAAGGGAGTGGAATAAGTTGCTAGCATCTGTCTTTCCATCCAACTACAGTGTGGGTGTCTTCAAGGCAAGACTGAATAGGCTTTTGTTAAGTCAGTGCGCTTCACCATCTTAAGCTATATCACCACATACCATCAGGTGGAATCGTAGTTAAGCGCTGGCTTAGAATAATAATAAAATAATTTTAAAAAAGCATGTCCTTTTAACGCTTCGTGTGAAACGTCTTCCACAACCCTTCGAAAGGCATCTATCTCCTTTATTATTAATATATTTTTGTCAACAAGGTTGCATTAATATCGAAAAAGACAATACGTATCCCTTCCCATATGCTAAAAAATGTAACAACATAATACGTGAGTATTTTTTATATTAGAGTAAAAAACGTCGTAGAGTAAATATGCACGCGCGTTAAACTAGAGTAAGTGACATTACTCAACGGATCTGTAAGCTATAGTGACAATGGGCCAGAAACATTGCTCGAAGAACCGACAACCGATTGGGAAGAATGGTTCTCTTAAAATCGGAAGCCTATGTTTAGCAGTGAACTTGTGATGGGCTGTATTAGTGATGATGAAACGTTGTAAGAATCCTCCTAGTGGTTAAGGACTTTGGACACTTGCGACAGACATTAAACGAAGATAAGCACATCGAACCCGCGGCCCTAAGCACCGCATAGAAGGGCCCAAGCACTGCGGTATCTAACTATCAATGTTAGTCTAGCACTCGTATCCGTATAATGCTATGCGTGTGATACGACTGCTAGACCAATATTTTGTCGGTTCTGTGGCACAGTAGCTTATAATTGAGTTGCGACGCTAAGGACTGTGGGTTTGAATCCCACGCGAAACAAGTGTTTTATGGCGTATAAATAAATATTCCGGGTCGGGATGTTTGTCCATGCACAATTTATGTTTGTAAACCACGAAATAGGAGAATATCCTAGTGTGAGGGTAACGTTTTATAAAAAAAATACATTTTGCTCCACATTGTACAATAAATTTTAGTGCCGTGTGTAGCATGATTAATGAAAGGTAAAATTACGGTGCATACATGAATGGTAACAATCCTCTTGTCACTTTTGATATGGTTGTCAAATATTTCGTCGCGGAGTGCAAGTTCGCGGACTTCACATGTCCTTGAATAGTTTTATTCTTCAGACAAACAGGTTTCTTAACCTTCATTTGTCGCGTAAATTAGTAGTTTAAATTGAAATTAACTATTTAATTTGTGCCGGCAGAGGTTGAATCCGAGTTACTCGCAAACTCGCGAGCGCGTAGCCCCTGAGCTACATCGGAATAAAAGAAAAATGACACTTCATCATTATCATTACAACCCTTCACAAGTCCACTGCTGAACATAGGCCTCCCGCAAGGTATGTCACAAAGCACGGTCCTGAGCTACCTGCATCCATTGACTTCCTGCATGTCTTACCAGGTCGTCACTTCATCTAGTGGGGCGTCACCCTAATAAAAGAAAAATGCCAAATATATTTAAATATTTATATTCATGCAAGTTGTCTTTATTGTTTTGATGCAAATGCACTTTGTTTTATTTTTCCTAAAATTGATAATATTTCATATAAAAAGGGGTGGTAAACGAGCACACACTTGATGGAAAATGATGCTGTGGGGCCATAGACATCTACATCCATTCCTGATTGAGAATCAAAATAAAGACAGATTGCCTTAGCATACGAAACACAGCAGCTTATCGTAAGACTTTCATTCCTCGGTCAAGCCTACTCATTAGTGTTACAAACGTAATATAGCTGTAGTACTGATCTAGCATGTTTATATAATAATTCTAAAATGGCGGGCTATCATTAAGATGGCTGAGAAAAGAGATTCAGAGACTGAAGTTTTTAATAAACCAATACTATTCTAATCCCGTAAATTCTTATGCAGAAATAACATACGTACAAATTGCGTTGAGAAAACCTCAAATAAAGTTATAATTGTATTCAAACAAGTGCACCTTAACTGGAATATGATATTTTATTTACTCCATACACTAAAGGTGTACATAATTTTGAAACAATATTATGTTAAATATAAGTTGAAAGATTTCATTAATGTTAATAAATTTATAGAACACGTGTTAATTAATCACAGTCTTGTTAATTAGTGAAAAATGTTACGTCTATGTAGTTTTAAATTATGACTTTCAAATAATTTATTTTCATATCTATACACTTTATTTAATAGAAAAGAAAACACAATACCGTGTAGTGGCGATGTAAGGATAACCACTACCCCATATTCTCCCGTGAGTGTCGTAAGAAGCGACTGAGGGAAATAAACCGGAAAATTGTCAGCAGCGTCTTCCTGATTATATCTATAAAATGTAACAACTGCAGTTGCAAACCTGCGTGCCAAGCGTGGCAACTAAGACGATTCCCCCCTTATCAATCCAGCCAACCTACGAGTAAGTAATAATTTTGAAAAAAAAAAAAGACATTTTAACATTAGAGTGCGGGTGACGTGTGGTGATGGCATAAGTAAATTCATCATCTTATTAAATTCCACGGGCTGTCGTCGATTTCGTCATTTTAAGAAATAGCTTAAAATTATTATGGCTTCCAAAAGATGTCTGTACAAACATCTCGTTTACGCCAGTAATTAAATACCCAGATAGACGAGCAATATATATATATATTGTGAGGATGAAGGCAAATCTTCAACAAGAAGAGAGGACCATTTACAACAATAGACTATTAAGGGGTTAGAAAGAAGAAGAACAACACAAGAAAGAAGGAGTGACAAAGCTTGTCAGTTTGATAGTTCAATTCCCACCAACATGAGTATTCAGTGGAAGAAAGCATTATACTTTTTTATACTTACCTAAATAATAACTTCTTTTACAAATTATTTCTATTATAAAGTTAAGATGATAATCGGACCGACGGTCTACCTGCTGGTACTACTGCAACCACAAAGAAGAAGAAATTACAGACGTCACTTCTGAAAACTATGATAAAATCCTTCAATGTGTCATTAATGTCCATCTTTATTTGTCCCTTTTTCGCCTGGATGCAACAAAAAAGAATATACCAACTGTGTTACTTTTGAAACATCTCATAAACGGTGATATTATGTTTGTGATTGTGTAGGTGATGAGCCATTTATCACTTATTTCATAAGTTTCAGTTAAGTCATATCTTCAGAAAAATTTTGTCAACGTAGCTCGCTACTCATAAGACTTCGTCTACCCTCTCATGGAATTCAGATGTGACGCTGTTTTATTTTTTTATTTAATATTCTTTATGGCACACCATACAAAATTTTAAGAAATTATATACAGAAAAGAAGTATGCTATGGGTGATCTTATTTCTTCCGGAAAACCAACCAAAATGCTATATTATTCTTCAAACTGGAATAGAATAGAAATAAAAGGAGCAAGAAGGCAAACTTAATGATTTCTTATATAAACGCAAACACTTCACATTAAATAAAACAATTTTTACGGATTTTCGTC